GGTAGCCAGGAAGAAAAGTGTACAATGACTAGCCTAGGATGACCAGGGGGGAGGGGACAGTGTGAACTTCAAAGGAAGTGAAGGATAGGGCAGGGAGGATAGGTTGAAAGGTACATTGAGAGGAGAGAAGGAATCCTACACTGCAGCCTTTCCAGTTGAGCCTGGAAGTGTGGGAGAATTGTAGTCCACTGAAACATAAAGAAGCCGGAGTAGCGGTATCAGAGGGGGACAGCCAGGTGTCAGTGAGTGCTAGTAATGTGCGGGAATTAGAGATGAAGAGGTCTTGTATGGCTGTTGATTTAATATTGCTACAGATGGAACGGGCGTTCCAGAGTGCACACTGAATGTTGGTAGAGGAGGATAAACTGCAAGGTATTTGGATGAGGTTTGCGTGGTTTCTAGTTGTTTTAGTTTGAGCAGACGAGGTGAAGGGCCCTGGGTTGGGAGAGACGTCACCAGCTGCAAGAAGTAGGAGGAGAGATAGTGACAGGAGGTGTGAATGGGTTTTATATGGGCGGGGTCTAGGATGAGATTGGGTGGCAGCAGGAGAGAAAGAATAGAAAAATGAGTGCAGGGCATGAGATAAGAGAAGTGGGGAGTAAAACTGAGAGGGTTTAATGTTAATGTGATTGTGCTGTTGAGGGATGTGGGTGAAAGGAGATATTTTGATGCTGAGGGAGAGGAGAGAAAAGAAAATAGAACATTGCTCAGATGAGTAAGTACTTTGAGAAAGGCAGAATGGGCAGATGTAAGGAGAATGAGGACTGGGTGTTAGGGGTTAAGGGAGTGTAGGAGTGCTTTGATTGCAGGTAGTGTTTGCAGCTGTCATTCCCAGCAATAAAACACATATATGTGCATACATCCCAGCAATCAAACAAACATGCAAACACAAACATTACAAAGCAAAAACACAACATGCAAACACAAACATTACATACAAAAACCCCTGGATTCAATACACCCTTCACTCAAACACTAATACTGCACACAAATGTACATCTGCATGTACAAGGTAACACTACATCCAAGCACACCCCTGCAGAGGCGATTTAGGCGGCCGCCTAAGGCCTCGCACAATCAGGGGCCTCGCGGCTGTCTAAATCGCCTGAAGGCAGACTGA